AGCGATATCATTTTTCCTGTCTTATCAACATTTTCTGTGCAAACATACCCACCTAACAGTGTGTTTTCCGTTTTAGGCACCAAGCTGGAGTCCCACATGCCAACAAAGCAATAAACCCCACAGGACTGATTTAAGCAAGCACAGGTAGACATGGAGAGACCCTCCTGCACCTTTCTGCGCCCATGCCTATGCCATTCATGTGGTGCATTAGTTTAAACTCTTAAAACACCCAGGGATGGAGATCCAAAGCCTCTCTGCGTCATCACTTCCAGCATCTCCCTCCCCTTATGGAAAGAACTTTCCTAAACTCTCACCTCCTTTGTTTTGCTGAAAATAAATCCAAGTAGGTCTTGTCCTTCCCCATGCAAACAGACCCAGTGATCACTGTACTCTCTTACCACACCCCTTTCAGCTACTGTCTTCACGTGTCAAGTGTCTCATAGCTCTCCTCTGTCTTTTCTAGACTAAACAATCCAATTTAAAAAAAAAAATTCCTTACAGGTCATGCTTTTTGAAATCCCTTATCAGTGCTGTTGCTCTCCTCCAGACTTCCTCCAGAGTTTACATCTCTATTTGAAGTGTGGAGTGCAGATCTGAGGCCTGGGCCTCTCCAGCACCACAATGACGTCCTTGTTACCTCTTCTAATAACAAGTATCTTTCTGGCCACAGCATCACACGCTAGACTTAGATTGGTGTTTGTCCTCTACCAGCTCCCCTGCCACATTGCCAGGACCCTGACCTGGTTCCTTATGTGTATTTTAATTAAGCACTTCCCTTTTTTCACCTAAGGCTATTTCTAAAGTGCATTTAGAACATTTAAAATCAATTCTCCTCCCAAATTTCGGGTTTCCCAGGCTATTTTGTTGGTTTAACCTACTGTAAGCGCCCAGTCTGCTGCACCATCCAGACTGTTAACAGATATTTAAATGAACCATGAGCAGCACAGCCTTCTGTTGATGGTCCTCTCACTCTGACAGTGAATCACACCTGCCTAATCTTCAAGGGTGTTATTACAATCGATGGCTGAAAAATAGCAATTATTTCTGATAGGTATCATGTCTGATACCAAGGGCTGCCAGAAGGAGACCTGAAGCCAAGAGCGATACCAGTGAATAATACACTGGTGAATCCCTACTCACCACCTGTGCCTGAAGAAACAGGCTTCAGTACCTGAAACTACACTCTCCTTCTTTGTAAGAGGACAGCAGCAAAGCTGGATTATTCACGGCTCTGAAAGCAGGATGGGCACATCAGTATGGCCCTACAGCCAAGATGATGAGCTAATGAACCTCCTATTGTTAGAAGAGTCCCCACCTACGCTCACACAAAGGGCCGATTAGCTCACAGGTGTCCAAACCTCTGGGAGGATGCCACCTTTCATCGCCACCAGAAGCGTTTAATACACGTTAAGGTGCCAACAGTTAAGTGTCTGTGTGTGTACAGATAGCACAGCCACTGCTCCTGTCCCAGGAGCTGCACACTGTGCCGGCCCAGTGCTGGGCACAGCTCTGCTGCCCCGGGTTCAGCTGGGAGTCTGCAGTGTGTGGGGCCCTTCCACCACTCCTGCAATGTCCTCGGGCAAGGAAGCCACAGACACCCCCCTGTCCAAGCCACTGATGGAATGTTGAGTGTCAGTGAGCTCAAAGACACTGTTCCCACTGGTGTGCTCCAGAGAGAAAGGTCCCTTGAGGAGCAGGGCTGTAAGTGCACAGGGCAGTGTATTACTGCTTGGGCTGGTTGAGTGATGATGTGAAACACGATGGTGAATCCCCATCACCACCCCGTGGGCACTTGATAAACACCACATTTACACTGCTGCCAGTGTCACCTCCATAACAAGCGCTGCATGGCCCAAAAGGGAAACAACCAGGTGGGAGGAGCTGGGAAGAAAAGTCCTTTGAGGTAACATTTTCCCTTTTCCTCCAGAGGTGAAGCCGTGCTGTTCAGAGGAGCAGCCGTGCTGGGGGTGCACGTGGCCCATCATGGCAAACCACCCACAACATATTTGACCTCTTTCACTGTCCACCAGCAGTTCTCACATGGCAACCGGCTACAGCAACCTCTCTATGTCATAGATGTCATGTCACAGAAGAAAACAAATGATAATCGAAGGAAGAAATCCCGTCTAGTATGAGAAAAAAGGAAAAGTCAGTGACACATTTGCTATCTTCCAATGATGTACCTTATCATGAGTTAATGTAGGAAGTAATGTCTTGTCGCTGTCTTTTCCTCTTCTTCCATGCTCATTGTTGAAGATCTGAAGGATGTCAGGAATGCTCCCTACTAGCTCAACAATTACCTGGAAAACAAGATGACCAAACAAGTCATGCACTGAAATGCGTTTTTGACAAATATGTAACAACCTGATATGTTTTCTGACTACAAAGTGAAAGCAGTAGCAGACACAGGAGCGCATCACAAAAATGTTTGCTTGCAAATAGGAGAGCTTTCTTTTGTCTTGCTTACAAAGGGAGACAACATTTATTATACTAGAGAGGGTTTTTCCACCTGGGCCACCTGTATTCTAAGGAGTGAATGCTGAGGGTGTGTCACCTGCATCTCTTCTTCCCAGGGATGTTGGGCAAATCAAGGCCCTGCGGAACCGACTGTAAATTCACGCCCTAGAGCTTGTGGGGAGAAACTATCCCAGAATAACTTTGGTCTGTTGCTGACTGGCAAAATCCCAAATGATTACAACCCTGAAGAGCTTTGCTGGCTTTCGAGCAGCAGTTATGGTTCTAGCAATTGGGCTCCAGCACCTGGTGGGATCTCCCAGCTCCAGGCCCACTGTGATTCCTCCTCCAGACAGACCAGGACCTCTCCATCACCAGCTGTTGTTCACAGCATGACACATAAGTGAGGCCAAGAGGGAGTGTGCGGAGTCAGGCAGCTCCCTTTGCTTCCTCTGGCCAGGGCTTGCACCTAACACAGAGCATTTTTAGTCCACAGAAGTCTTTGCACCAAATGACTTTGTCCTAATCACTGCACAGCCTCAGTTATCGCCCGCACAAACATTCCCTTCGGATCAACATACCAGCTGGGCCAGGAATCACACAATTGATGTTTGGGTTTCCACTGCCTTATCTAAATCCAGTTACTGCTCAAAATGAGACTAAGTCAACAGACTTAATTGAATGAAAGGGCTGTGAGACAACCTAGAGATTTGTGGCTGTGTGTGTCCGTGCAGGAGGTAATCGCTAAGCAAACACTTTGCCGCAAACAGAGCTGGGCTGAGCGGGATCGGTTTTTCCGAGGCCTGGAAGCTCCTGACACGCCGGGGTTGTGGGAGGCATTGTTGGGGCTGGCAGGAGGATTTAAAGAGCACTGCAAACAGTGTACCACCACGGAGAAAAGCTGTGGATGGACAATGGAGCAGGCCATCAGCAAACACTCCTGCTTGCTGCCTTAGATCAGGAGATAGCAGAGACCCCATAGTAGTGGCCCAAAATAATTGCTCCCCTGTAACTGTTGCTGTCCAGATACGTGAAATAGCCCTGGGACACCCACTGGGAGCAGCAGGTTGTTTAGTGTCTTTAGCTCTTTCCGGGGAGGCAGCTTTGGATGTCCTCAGTGTCCAGCATTTTGCAGGCATCACAGGATTTTCCAGGCTGTACAGCCATGGAATTCCTCCTGGTTCTGCAGTTCAAGTGACAAAAGTATAAATGAAACACATGGGAATGGCCACACTGGGTCATACAACTGCTCCACCTCACCTCTCTTCCTGTCTTCAATGGAGACCATGAATGGGCTCTGAGGGAAGACCATCCCTCTGATCCAGTCCCCACTGTGACAGTGCTGCACAAAGCTTTCCAGAGCTGCAGGGGGAACAGGACCAAGCCTTACTTTGCAGTTACAGCTTGTCCTGGCAAACTCTGTGCTTCTCCTTTTCCTACCACCTGCTCAGTTCACAGGCCCCACGCTGGCACCTGGTGCTGCAGTGGGAATGTTCAGGCTCATGCCAACGGCTCATCGTGGCCATTGCCTGAAGGGAGGCTGAGGCTGCAAACCTCCTAAAATAGCCATTAAATGTCTCCTCCTAATACAAGATGACTCACACACTTTCCTGGCTGGTAGGACTTTGTCAGGTGATGGAGAACCTGAATCAGGTTCTCCAGTAGGCAGTGACGGCCTGATGGACATCCAAAGGGGACTTTGCCATGAGCCATATAGAGACAGAGCCTTGCCATTTTAACATGATTTTGGCTGGAAAAACTCATACCATGCTACAGAGACACTACACTTTGCACTGGCCACTCACTTGTCACCACACATTAGCTCGGGACCAGGACATCTGGCTGTAAGAATGCAACTGTGCTGGTATGCCCTAAAGAAGAGAGGGCACTGAACCAGCCTGATCCTTCCTCCCAGAGGCAGTTCTTGTCCTCTGGCATGCCACACGAGCAGAAAGGAAAACTTTTCCAGCAAAGTCAGGAAAGGTGGGAAAGCTGATGAGTTTTGTGATCAGGTGCATGTGGCCAGAGTGCTACACAATGCCAAAAGGAACTGCTGCTGAGTGCCCAGGATTTGGGATTCAACACGAATAACACACAGCTCTATATTTCATTCCTTTAACAAGTGCTGAATATGCAAAGGCTCCTTTCCCAGCTTCTGTCTTCATTCTGGAAGCTGGGGAAGAGCTGTGTGTATAATTATTTTCAGATGCCATCCACTTTATTGATTAGCTGAGTAGGATGCACAAATATTGGCAGCTAATGCCAGAGCAGAGGTCAAATGAAGCTCACTCCCTTTTGGGAAAAGCTGAAATAAACCCACCACGTGAATGGGTCATTGAAAACAGCCTGGATATATTCCCTATAGTCATTCCGAAAGTTCAAGGGCAGGGGAAAAAGAGGGGGGAAAAAAAACCCCAAAACAGCTGTCTCTGTGTTCACTAAACTTCTAATATCTGAAAGTGCTTAAAAAAACACACACAAAGTTTTTTTCATACAATCATGGAAAAACACACTAAGCTTTTGACTCAATGGTTTTGTTTTTCCAGAGAGTCCCTTCCAGGTTCCACGCGCCATCCCACAGTCACGTCTGCTGGATGAGCTGGGAGCTGACAGCCTCGAGAGGAGCTCTCCGTGATCTGGAGTTTCAAGTATCAGCTTGCTGGAAGTGCCACGGAGAGGGAGGAGGGAGGGAAGTGGTGTGAGCTTTGCCAACACACCTGCACAAGCTCTGGGCTCTCTCCTGGACACTCCGTGTGCTAATGATGTATAACCTGCAGAGCCTGGCAGCTCCCTCGCTGAAGACTCTACCAGACACACTGTGCATGCCTCTGATTTCTAATTTCTTAAAACAAGTAATAAACCGCCCCCCTCCCTCAGCCCTGTGCTGTAGGTAAATGCTCAGGATGGAAACTGAGATGTGTTCAGCTGGGCAGAGCTTCTACCAAGGCAAGGAACAAATGACAATTTAATTATGGTGCTTTAGGTCTATGTAATTCCTCTTGTAAAGCAGAAGGGAGGAAAAAAGCTCAAAGAGAGACAGAGTTCATTTCTGCTCCAATGTTCTGCTAATTTTTCTTTTTACTATTAGAGATTCATCTGGATCCTATTTCTAATCCACTCTCAAATTTGCTCGAATTAAAATCCCAGATCACTGCTGTGTTTTCAAGTTGAAGTGTGCATAGTAGCCAAGGTTTATATTGCAATTTCTGGAGTTATGGAATGATGAGCTCCAAAAGCGGAAAGAGTGTTGGATGCCCAAGTGCTGGGGGAAAAAAACCTGGTTGGCATCGGTGTTATTTGGAATTGGAGCTCATCTGTAGAATAACTAGCCTTGAAGTTAATACATGGCTACATTTTACATGTGGTTCTGCACACTGCAATTGGTGGCCATGGAAGAGAAAGGGCTGCCATAGTGGAGATGTAGGAATGGGAAGTGCTACTTAATTATAAAGCCTTGATATTTTTGAACTTTCCTCTGAAATATAAAAGTTCCCCCACTAGTTTGGGACTTATTTTAATAAGAAATTCACTTTCTGAGTAAAATAGCACAGCAAGAGTGCCCTTGCTTTGAAATACCTGTGCTGTCTCTACTGCTGCCCGCACCCCAGTCTGAAAGCCAGCACTTCTCCTCCAGTGTCCCGGCTATGTCCAAATCCAATAGTCTTGTTAGATTTTGCCACCTGGAAAACACCATAACTCTGATGGAGTTATGAATCCCAATATTCTCTGGGCTTTCATCTCTCTTTCATGACAATTCCCAGCCGCTGCCAGGTGAAGCCAGCCAGCCAATATTTATGGAAAATGAGTGGACTAATCATTTCCAATAGCGGGACAGGATTACGATATAATTGCAGCAGTTTGCATTGACATCCAAGTGGACGGATACGAGCCAAAAATTGGAATAACGGCTCCACCCATCTACCACCCAAATGTAAACAAGGCAGCATGGTTAAAATGAGGCCTGGAAGTCAGGGCTCGGCCGTTCTCCTCCAGCTGTGTTCTGGTGGGATTTCCAAGCTGCCACCCAACCTGCCTGCCAGGGAGTTCATCCACCGTAAACTGACCCTCACCTCACTTGGAAAGTTCAGCAGCTTCTCCCAGTATCAGCTCTTTTCACACAGGGCTAGAAGTGCACTGCTGTTAACAAGGGCAAGAGATTATATTTTAGAGATTGGGTGTTGTAGGGTCCTGAATTAAACCTGTTAAGTACCTAAAATCCAGCTCAGCCCAAGCCACGACTGGCCCTGATGTTGTGTGTACACGTGTGGATAGGGGAATATCTGCAAAGGGAAAGAGAGTCTGAGAAGAGCCTTGACCTTACCCTTATAACTTACTACCTTATCCCTCCCCAAGTTGGCCTAAATACAACTAAGTTAAACTACTCCTCAGATTACATTGCCAAAAAATCCATGACCCTGAGCAAAACACCATCTGTTGTTGATGCATCTTGGCATGCAATGGTTGATCCATTCCTCCCGATGCCATCACCTGGAGAAAATGGATGATGCTCAGCTTCCAGTTCTCAGTTCTAAACATGAGAGAAGCCTGGCCTGAGCATGGCCTGTGCCTGCATCTCTGGATATCACAGGCCTCCTCAAACGGGCCAGCTAAAAGGAGGAAGCTCCTGGAGCCCGGGGCAGTTTGTACCATGAGGACCTGGCCTGTGAACACCTGTACCTGTGGTGTGAGGACAAGCAAAGGCCCATGCTCCAAAGCATGGCGAGCTCCAGCCTCCTAAGCTGTATGAAATCCCATTTCCTCTCTACTTGTGCTAAGTGTAAAAACAGAAACAAAGACACACACCTAAATAAACAGAGCAGCACAGGGAGCAGAAGGGGAGAGAGGCCCTAGCGCAGGTCAGACGCCAACTGGTACAGAGAGATGTTTTCTGTTTGCGGTCCTTCGTGTCAGACCCTGCCATGTCACGGGGATGGGAATGTGAGTGGGAGACTTGTTGGACACCGCCGGCTTTACAAATGCCTCACGATTGCAGAAACACCTGCTTTACATTAATTTTCTTGCTGGTCCACAACAAAATTCCTCCCTGGTCAACAGTTCTCAGCAGACCTTTCTTCCTTCTGCGTGGATGGCTCAAACCACTGGTTTTTAAATCCTGGGCCACCACGAGATCACACTGGAATCTCCTTGAGCAGGAGGGCGAACCAGAAGGCAGGAGGGCACTTTTGTGCAGAATCATGCCAAACTGTTGGCCAGAGGGCCAGAACCGCACGACGCTGCTCACTGTCAGGTGGGGGAAGCGGGGCAGGGGGGTTACCCAGGCCAAACGGACGGATCTGTAAGACCCATCTGTTTTCACCATAAAAACCTCACAGCCCACACCTATGCAACACACAGCACTCCAGTCACCACAAGTTATTACTCTTGGTCTCCACTGCTTCCTGTGAAGCTGTAATGGGTCTGAGACAGCATCCAATGAAACCAAAGGGAGCCTTTCCATTAACTCAATGGGCTCTGGATCAGGCCCAACATCTGTTTGGCCCTCTCTGTACATAGCACAGCCAATTTATTCTTTATCCATTCCTGGGCCTCTCTCTCCAATAGCATCCATATTTTTCCTACTTATGGTTGTCATTAACCACACTAAGCACCACCCCCAGAGAGACCATCTGTGCCCCATGGCAGCCAATCCCTTGGCATGGCATAGCAATGAGTGCTGCCCCAACCCCTTATCATCTCAGCAAGGACTCTCCTCTCTCTTTGTTCAGGTTTCTAGGACATCCCTTGGAGCTGCCAAGCTCTTCCTACTCTCCCCTCCTCACCAAGTAGAGGGCAGGTTGGGCCTTCTCTTCTGTTGTAAACCTGGCGAAGAACCAATGCCAAATCCAGACAGCAAGGTCCCAGAGCTCTCTGAACAGGCATTTCCCACCTTGGCTAATGACAGTTCAGGCAATGACTTCCCTGGAGATCCAGAGTACAAGGGAGAATAGCCAACAGGCAGCTCCTTCATCTTATACTGGAGCGCAGAGCTAGAGTAAGAGATTCATTCTTCAAACTGTCTGTGTAAGACCATAGAATATCTTAAGTTGGGTGGGACCCAGGAGGTTCTTTGAGTCCAACTCTCCAGCTCCTCACAGGACTACTTAAAACTGAACCATATGACTACGAGCATCGTTCAGACACTCCTTGAACTCTGACAGGCTTGGTGGTGTTACCACTTCCCTGAGGTTCTTCCCCCACCATTCCCATATCTTCTCAAGTGTGAATGCAGACACTGTGCCAGTTCACAGCACTTCCATCTCCACTCTCACCAAATCCATGATTCACTTTGCAGAGATAAGACAGGACCAGGCACAAGCCCTCTCTAGGTCTCCCAGTGACAGACAGAGCAAAGGTCCATGAGACGCCATCCAATCACTGAGCAATACATGACATTCATTTCTTTATGACTCTGCCAAGCCCTTGGATTCCAGGATCTTTTTTCCAACTGGCACACATGGATTCCCAAGCTGTGACATGCATGTCATCGCTAAGCAGAGCAACAGCCTTTGCTGAGAAGCCAAGCAGCTTCTTACAGCAGAAAAACAAGCCTCCGGTGCTAAATCTAGAGATTCTTCCAAGCACAGAGCTGCAGATTCATTGTGGACACTGCCACTGCAAAAGTCAGAATCCCATACAAAAATACCTTGCCAATGTACCCCCGAAATCACATGAGTTTGGAAACAGGACTGTTGCCTGAGGCCAGATGTGGGGACTGGCAGGCTGCTGGCACTGTGCAGAGGCACATCTGCATGTCAGGTACTTACTCATTCCTGCATACTTCCCTGATAAAATCTGGATTGCCTAAAGCTGGTATTTTCACTCCAGTTTCCTTATCAAGGTATTTACCACCTCCTGTCTGTGCCTTGCAGACTCAGGGTGTTAAATGCTCCCCTCTTCTCCCTGCAGTACAGGCAGCTGGAGCATGTGGGAGCTGCCCTACAGGATGGGATTCTAAACCCACCAGAGCATGCAGTGGGTGGCTGCTGGCCTGAGCTCTGTGGGATCTCACCCTGTTTGTACCTGGGATGTTATTCTTTTGATCCTCACACTGGCTTTCTGCAGCTCCTTCCTGTGTTTTGGGGTGTTTGTTGTGCTGCTTTCTGGTAGTCCCTGATGGCATTTCAGAAGTTCTTGTCTCCTGTGCAGGGTTCTCTCCCAGTGCAGCTGTTGTTCAGCTCTAGGAAGAGGAGGACAGTTTGGGATGGAGTTACCTCAGCAATAGCAGAAGTGTATATGGCATCTCAATACATGCACATGACATTTTTTCTCTCTAAAATAAAAAGCAGATCTCTGTCTCTCTAAATATCAGTACTGAGAGAGGCCCGTGGTCACAAAGGCGAACTCCCCTTGGAAACTCTGAGCAAACCCTTTCCAAGAACACCCCCACCTCCTTCCCACCCACTGCTGATATCCATCACCCATTTTAGCCCATGGCTCTCACACCCTCCTCTTCCCATGAGAGAACATCACAGGGTGTCCTTGATGGCTCTGCTGTTCCCCTCCAAGCTTCATAAAAGAGAGACATATTCTATAACACAGCATCTTAACAATTATTAATTTCCTTGAGGAAAAATATTACTGGATTACCCCCTGGGAAAACCTAAGCAACAGATCTGTTGCAGTTTGATTTCACAAGCATGTAAATATTTCATCAGTTTAAGAACAACACTTGTGGAGATCGATCAGCTGGGTACACACTGCTTTGAGGGAGGATGTAGTTTATTTTGGGATGCTGGTTCCGCAAACAAGGCTGTCCTCAGCCCCTCCCATGAGTATTATGCCATAGGTATATACCTTGTGTCAATCACACTTAAAAGGAAGCTTTCTGGCTAAATTCAAACGGAAGGAAATGAAATGCAATTTGATTTCAGAAATGCCACCAAGTTATTTCAGTTCAAAAAAATAGAGGTTTACAGACTTCATATAGAAGTCTGATGTTTCTGCTCCATTTTTTGAATTGCTGAAATGCAGAAAAAAATCAGAACTACCACAGGGGGTAGATTTCTAATTGAAATTTCTGTCTTGACGTAGGCTGGCTGAAGGAAGGGAGATCTCTTCAGCTGCTTTTCCTAGAGAACCACCCAGCTGTTACCAAGCTGGGCAAACTTGTTTAGATCCCACCACTACACCCCCCATACATGCAGGGATCTTGGGATGTTGGACAATACCTAATGGGACCCAGGAAAAAGAGCTCTGCTTAGTGTATAACTCCTCTGTGGCCCTTCTGGAAGATGTCAGACTTGTATCTAAGGTTGTTGTCACACTTGACAGTGTCCATCCCGGTGAGAGCACTCCCAACCCCACCAGCCAGGAAAGCCGAGCAGTCCAGGAGAGTCAGGGTTCATGGGCTGGTTTTTCCCATCACTTTGGTGCTTGGACAAGCCAGCACTGAAATCAGAGAGATCACTGCTATCAGAGGTGGTGTTAATTAGGTGCCAACTGCAATGAACACAGGATGACATGGGCTTCAGCAGGAGCTGGCTGGGATTGGATCCTGCATCCAAGCTATAACCTGCTTTGCATCCTCCCTCC